TGAAAAACTGCACGTGCTTATCATGGTTAGCGCCGTACATCGTACGATGTCTTCATTAATTACCCTTTTCTGGCAGTTTCTGAGGGATTATCTCATATTTCCATCAACAATATGAGAACCGCGTACCATATTCTGAAAAACCGAATCGGAGGGTTGTGAACATGAGCGAGCTCCTAAAAATGAAAAAAAATTGAATCTAAGCAAAACATGCATTCCTTCAGTAATTTTCCGCTACTATACTTTTGAGTCAACATACAAAGCTGAAGAGTTATCATGAAACTGAAATGTAACTAACTGATGATCTATACGATAAATAAAAAAACTTACTTTTCTTCACCACATTCATGTCAAACTTTCAGAAGGTCCGAGCTCGAACTGCAATTATACCAATAGTGCACTAAGGCTGGTTTACCTTTCTAGAAAACTTATACTATATAATATATCTGAAGGATAAACTTACTACAATAATGAAAGAATGATGATGGTAGTTTGAGTGTATATATGTTTATCTTAGAAAGTGCCCAGCGTATGTTTATTCTATTATGCAAATTGTTACTACAGTCTGCAAGATGATGTAGTCGTTGTTTCTTCGGCTATCTAACCTACCCGAGCGTCACTTCGACACTACTAGAAGACCAGTACCATGATGATCCACAGAAACATTTTCACCAGAATTGATAAAATTCAAACAGATGTATGGAGTATCGTCTGGATTAGCAGTATCATTTTCGGTGCTACTCTACTTGTCAATGTATATATGATTTATTATATCAAGGTGAGCGGATTTATATTTGTGGTCATAGTTTGTTTCCTATAGGTTTACCTTGATAAATTCAATATGGATGCTGTATGGTTAGAAAGTGTTGATTTCTCAGTCAATTTCAAAGTTCAAAACGTACCTACTTCTCTCCCGGAGAAAATGTAATGATCATTGCAGATAGTTCAAGATCGCTTCCTATTTAACACTCCTCATTTGGATTATATTCAATCTGTTCTACTTTTTTGGAATTTATTCAATGATTTGATCATTGGGTTTGTCCAGGTTTGTCGTTTCCTAATACATGTGACACTGGCAGTTAGGATCTGGGCATATGTGGAATGAAATGGATAAAGAATAGAAGAAAAGTACTATTATATGTTGCTCCGTTCTACTCTATTTCTTTTTTGATCTTCTGGTTCCCATGGTCTAAGCAAGTTGATGAATCAGTAACTATAAGAAAATTCAAACTTTGTAGGGATGAATTTGTGGTGGCCTTCCAGCTTCTATTCTGCTTTTTCTTTTTCGACACATTCCAAACTTTGATTTTATCAGCATATTTTGGAATGTGTGTCGAAAAGTTTCGTAAGCACCAATCACGTGTTAGAATATTCGTTTATGCAGAAGTGGCGACCGTAATAGGTGATTATAAAACTATAGAAAAACGGCCTACGCATGTTTAGCTGGGACTTTGATCCTACCTATCGAGTCTATGACTGACAACTTACAAAGGTATAATGTATTCCAAGTTTTCGTGGTTGGTATCACCCTTGTGGCTACTTCTTGTATGTTGTTTGGTGCGAAGAATCTGAAAAACCAAGATATGTCAAGTAATAGTGAAGAGGATGTACCTACAGTTTTGTCTGGAGAGGTTTATTTCTTTCCATGAAGAATCTTTAACATATAATTAGGAAGAAATAGAAAGCACAACTGATTGGAGATCGATCATTAAAATAACATGGCAGATTATAAAGGAATTTAGATTCATTGCTCTCGTAGGATCACAGTTCTTCAAAATTTTAAGGTTAGAAGAAAATTATATGATTAATCATGCTTGTTGTTAGATATATGGCAAATGAACAATTTCTGGTTACGTACGTGGAAATCCTCTTGACCGAGAACAGTATTTTAAGGAAAGGAAGTAGCATGCTTGGTTTATATTATATAATCGCTAGGTCCTTAGGAAGCGTGAGTATCAAAAAAAAATTGCCAATATATCAATGAAGTTTAGATTTTGTTCATATTACTTTGGATCCCAGTTAAAAGAGTCGGGTGCCAATGGGTAATCCATGGTATAAATCTACTCACTTTGGTCAATTGCGCTGTGGCATACTACGCTGGTTCCAGCCATTTTTGGATACTAGCTTCTTTCGTTATTTTAGAAAAGTGAGTTTTCGTAGCTTTTTCATGAGCATAATATATTTAGCACATTCTCGAGGTGCGGTTGGCAATCATTCTATATGATTATATCTGCACAAGTGATCGATTCCGATCGGGAAGTTTACCATAGAAAGTGGGGAATATTTCCGGTTAACTTGGATTACATGAAGCTTGTTCCAGACTCCCATTCTCAACAATCGTATTCTCGCTGAAAACATTATTTACAAAGCCGGCTGATCAACTTGCCTCTGTTATTGTTTTAGGAGTCTTACAAATGAGCTACTATCACGATTTCAAACTACTGTGTTGGCCAAACTCAAATACTGTTGGGAAACTTTCCTCTAAAAATAATATTGCCAATGAAATCTCTTTCACAGATTTGTACGTTCGCCTTCTTTTTTTTTTGCAATCATAATTTTCAGAGAGCTGCGATGTACCAATATAAAAAGCGCCACTTATGACACCTTAATTTTCCTACCACTGGTATGTGCCGTTTGTGAATCTCTGTTTATTCTCTTAGATCAGTTTGTCTGCTGGAAATCTGCAGCGAACCAGTCAGAAAAAAATCTATTGAGAACATATAAATAAATAATTCAGAACTATCTCTTTCTCACAATTTCCAGGTATTCAACAAATAAATAAATTTAGCCGTAAATTAGACTTGGCGTGAAAGTTAAAATATTTATAAATCGCCAGTAAATAAATGATATAACACTACATTCAACAATGATATGTCATATCAAAGTTATTAACAAACATGTATGAAGCAGCATCCTTGGTTACAATATTCCAATCCTTCTCGCTCATGGAACATTTAACAACATCAATAACTTTTTGTCCATAACTCTTGTTCCAGTACCCGGCTAGCTTCTGATATCCAGAAGAATTCACATCATCAGTAGATTTGCCGTTCTGCTTCAACTCAGCAAACTGTTTCCTGTCCTAAACATACGAGATCATTAACAATCAAAATTTCAACTATACCTCAACAAGCTGAGGATTAAAGAAATCTATGAATTTGTCGAGAGCATGATAAACCAGCTTTTTCAGTTGATCAACACCTCCAAGGCTGGAAGAAAAATTGCAAGAGGGAGGATTTTTAATTGGGTCATTACGATTCAGCAGCATCTGCTATACTCCTAGATATTTGAATTCTCTGCTCGGAAGTGAGAACATCATCTCTAACTTTCTTGTACATATCTGAACAAATTCGAAGATCCCATTTCAAACAGTATGTACGTACCCACGGCTGCAGCTTTGATTTCATTTGAACTCGTATAATGTTCCAACAAAAACCCAAAAGCCTGTATAAGATAATTATTTATATTGAAAAAATAATGATATAACCTTTTTAAACTGAGCCTCATCAAAGTAAGCACTTAGTTCTGAGCGAACTTGAGTTGTAAGCTTATTTAGTTCTTCCTCACTATTAGCGTGAACAGAGCACGAGGCAACAGCTAGGAGGAGCAAAACACACTTCATATCTATAATAAAGAATTAATAAACAGAGCGATGAATGAGATGATCAAACGAAGTTTCAAAGTTTTATAGGTTCTCTCTTAATCAGTTCTCTTAATTGGCGTTGAGAATAAATCTCATTAATCCAACTGGAATAACTACTCTAAACCTCTCTCACAAACACTAGCAATACACAGCAAATTTTCCAAGAGACTATTACTTAACTCGTATATCATCCTGCTGAACAGATATAAATGTGTTTGAAATTCACTTTATCCTCAACCCGAAAATCATAGAACATTCATAATCTTTTTAGCGCCAATTATGGTTATACGATCAAAAGTTTATTCTAGTATCTTTTACTGAGTTTAGTTGGGCTTTCTTTGAGTTCCGTGTCTAAAACCTTTCTAGTTCAAAACAGTACCGAGAAAAGAAAAAATGAACATACGGTAGAACAATTCTGTCTTTGCCGTTCGGAATGCAAGACTTCATCCTCAATGATCCCCTACAAAAATAAAAAAGTACAACATATTAACAAAGATATTATTGCCTGTTTAGTTGGTGATTATTCTTCGCTTCGTCTTTCAATCTTAAATACGCAATGACTAAATCAATACAATTGAAAAACCTACGGGATGACTACTCTTGCTGACATGCTAGGGATACACGTTTTCATCCTGGGTACCACACTAAAATTGAACAATTTTAACAGAATTAATAAATGAAATACTTTTTATATTTGGAACCATGTTTAATGTCGTTGCTAAGCCTAAATTGTTAAAAGCAGATATATGTTATGTAGAAACGTACGGAACGAGAATCCTAGATGGAGTAACGGGAACACAAGTTTTCATCCTAGAAACAATTTTTCAAAAAACAAATCAGAGAGTGATTCAAACAAACTCCCACCTGTTTGACTTCAAATTAGCCTTTCTCGAGCCATCTTCATTCCTAAATTCCAATATCATTGAAAGGATACTTCGAAAAGTCGAACTGTATGGCAACTCCAGATGGTTCACTGGCAACGCACGACCTCATTCTCGGAGCAACGCTGTAAAAAATTAATATAATAATGCTGAAACATTAAGGACTACCTGTTCGGCTTTGTTTTGCAGTCTTCAGATCCTTTTAGCCTGGAAACATTTCAGTACATATATAATATTGCTGACACATACGGAATGATCGTTCTCGATGGTAAGGTAGGAACACAAGTTTTCATCCTGGGTGCTCTTCTGGTATACAGAAATCAGTATGGATACGATCATCAAATTACCTATTTGGCTTGACACTATTATCAACAGAAGTATTCCTGTTCCTGAGCAACCTCATTTTATAGAGAACAGTCTTGAAAAACTTACAACGAAACTGTTTTGCATGACTTGTCCAGTGCACAGCTTCTAAATCTAGTAGACCTTTTTCTGAGCATAAAATTATGATGTTAAAAGAATTACCCTGTAGAACTGATGGTTTTCCCGTTATCATGATTCTTCAATCTGAACACACTTGTGGTAGACATAATTCGGATGAGGAAACTTACGAAACTACAACTCTTGATGGAAAAGCTGGAAGACACGTTTTCATTCTAGAGCCTCTTCTATTGAGAACATAATAAATAAATATAAATAAAAAATACTAATACCTTGTTGAGTTTACAACTTTATTTTCCTTACTTTCTTTCTCACTAAATACTCTAATGATTATAATTATAAGATTAGATCGAAACATACGAAACAACAGTTCTGTCGCGAGTGTTCGAAAGACTAGGTTTCATTTTAGAGGTTCGTCTGCTGAACATAGTTTCAATATATATAACCAACTAAACTGTCAATAGGAAAACACTAAAACCTACCTTGTTAGCCTCACAACTTCTTTTTCAGTGTTGTCCTCCAGTCTGATAATTCTATGATTATAGAAGTACTATCAGAGAAACATACGGAACAATTTCGAAGGTTGAAGATATAGGTGCACATGTTTTCCTATTGACAGTTCGCCTGTTTTGAATAAAAAAATATATGATTTCAGCTGTCACCTGGTTGTCTTAACAGTATCTGTTTGGCTTTTATTTTTCGATCTGGGAGTGATTAACTACATTATATTTTGTTGCAATACTTACAGATTAGTTGACTCAGAAGTTGAAGTGGTTTTCACTTTTGTCACTTGTCTATTATCAGTGTAAGTAAAATAAATTTGATTATTTTACCTTTTCGATTTGTTAGTAATCTGACTTGTTTCTTCTTTGCAACTTAATTTCAGTTTTTAATGATCTGATTATAATGGAAAAAAACATACGAGGTTGCAGCCTTGGACGGATTTTTACGTACGCAAGATTTTTCTTTCGATCGAAAATATTGATGATGGTGCTAATAACGTATGGCAAGCTTACTTAGATGAAAGAGATGGCTTTCTGATATTATCTTTCGAGCTCCGATCTTTTACTGTTGTGCTGATGATCTTTTTTCTCCCATTAATGTTAGCTGTTTTGGTCGATTTATCTTGTTCTATTATGAAAGTTCTTTCGAAGCATTCATCTGAAGTGCTGGCTTTTTTCGACTTCACATTGGCACTTAAGTTTAGAGAGAATAAGAGAGCTCTCGAAACAATTAGTTACCTTCTTGAACTACTGCGAGTTTTCACATCAGTTTTGTTTTTGCTCATACTATCAGCAGGATCTTCTGGAGTATTTTTGTTGAGGAGTGAGCCTGGTTGGGTAATTTTCTTATTTACCCAGTCCACAATTAGAGGTGGGGCTGGATATGTAACGAATATGGTTTTAGAAACATTTATTGGGATCAAACGTGGAGTCGCCTCTGGAAGATCGACCGAGTTTGCCATTTGAGCAACTTAGAATGAATTTGCGTGAGGATTTGACGGGAAAAACGTGACTTCACGTATGTTTGTAAACTGCAATAAGACTAATAAATCTATGTGAAGAAACCATTAATAAAAGAAATGATGATGTGGGAAAGAAATATACATTTGGCGAAAAACAAAAACTAATAAAATATCAATAAGAGTTTCTTAAGGGTACACGTAGGATTTCGTTCACATATGAGATCTCAAATTATAAAATACGAACAAATTAAACAACTGTTGTTGTTCTATGAGGTCTCCGAGGGCTATGAGCATATTCTTCTAATCCTCCTACTGTGCTCTCTAGAGTGCTGCTTTGAGACCGAATTGGAACAGCTGGAACTAAATTAGGTGCCAACTGATGAATGGTAGGCTCTCTGAAATATTTTTCAAACTTGACGTGAGCGATGGAAGCATACCGACGGAAACATTGCACTTGAGGATGATATATGATGGTTGTTAGAGGAAAAGCGATGAAGTATAAGATGATGATGGCGTCAAACATATATAGAAAAATGGTGGAAACAGTGTCTCCAAGAGAGTCCTTAAGAAGATTATCAACATAGCAGTGTAGAAATATAAATATAGAACCTGAATTCCAACCATGTAGAATATAATTCCACAGTTTATTGCTGAGCAAATCCCATAACAGGCTATAAATGAGTATTAATTGCTAGTATATTTGCAAAAGCTTATAAAAACTTACTGAACAATCTGTATATGGTTTTTCCTAATAGTTTGCGCACATGTGCAGCTATAGCATGCTTCTTCTTGATAGCTTCATCATCCGACTCCGGTAAATTGCAAATTGTCCAATTTTCTGATATAGTCAAACCAAAAAAACACTGCAAATTGACGTTCAATGCTAGTCTAATATATTGATATACTAACTATGAGCTGAAACAAAGCAATGACAATGAATGCTGCTAATGAAACTCCATAGTGGAAGCCATCTTTTCCGATTCTGCGACTTGCTTTACCCTCACACGATGGATGATGATATGTATGATCAGGTATCAGTAACGAAACAAGACGTAAATAGAGGTATTCTGCGAAACCTATCAAATACTGTAAAAATCTTATAATTCTGTTAACTCCTGAACGAATGCTTACGGCTATAATAACTACCGAATATGCTATTGTATAGTAATTCTTATGGATATTCTCTTCTAAGCGAACTGATATACTTCGTATGCTTCCTCGCGATATAGAGTTTCTCGCTTCCTCCTCCTCGACCTCGTTTGTCTAAAAAAGGGTAGGAATGAATTGTAAACAAGTGAGATAAAACTTTGCTAGTTGAAGCATCATCGAATTCCTTGCCTTCTCTGATTTCCTCCAAGCAACCCGTTCTGTCACTGAAGCAATATTATTTTCAACCTTTCTACTATTCTGACTAACCTTTGGACATATGGTTGAAGGTTTTTCCCGACCATGATTCGTAAATTTTTTAAAGACCTTCTAGGGAACTGTGCTCGATTATTATTTGAAGCTGTCGAAGAGGAAGAAAAACTGACAAATACTTCAAAATGAAAATAGAAGCCTTAGAAGACTTACCTCCCAGGACAACTTCTTGTAGAGTTTCGGATATTCGCTTCCTCTCTACCATCTTCAATATCTCTGTTCATTCTGTAAAATGGTAAACTGGCTAAAATCTCATTGTTTAATGATCAATAACTCCATAACAACATATTTTCAAAGCACAATCTGCGATATGGGTTAAGAGATCGATTGAAAATGAATTTCGTTAGCAACAGAACAATAATCAAAAAGTTGACAAATACGGTCTTTTCATAAAATGCGGAAAAGTTATGCAGCGTCGACTCTCGTAAGAAGTGAATGCGGCAAAATCGAAAAAAAATTTAATGAGAGATGAGTCAGTTCAAATAAATATGAAATGGAGAGAGAAACGGTAAAGAATCGGAGCGCCAATAAGCGGCTTATACTAACTCAAAATGAAAAAGTGAGCTGCCAATACCTCACTGAACATTCCGAGGAGATGAAAAGAAGGATTTGAACAAAATTCAAAGAATAGACAGAGGAAGGAGATGAAGACGATTCAATATATTCCATTCTAAACATCACAGTTACAAGAGAATTTCAATAATCACTGGAACGAGTTTTGAAATAGAAAAAGCGAACAAGCGTTTTTATAAAAACAAACTGTAACTACGAAGTGTAAAATTCGAAAACTGCGTGAAAAAAAAGAAAGGGGCTGACAAACGAGAAGGAATACAATATGGTCAAACAGTCATTGTTATTACGACTATCTGAAATAATAAAACAAACATAAGACGGTGTACATTCGAATTTATGAAAATTTTATTGACTACGAAATAACTGGACAAACTATCTTTCTCAAGTTGAGTGATAGCATAATCAATACGGATAATCCCTCATGAAATTTGAACAAAATGAAAACCAATAGCAGCTGTAGTGAAATTTGTTCCGAAATTATGAAAAAAAAACGGACAACTGCAGAATTAGAGTTGTATAGTTAAATATTTGCATATAAAGCTGAAATGATAAGAAAACAATAATTATAAAAGGCTTACTCTCCCTCTCCTTCTTTCTCTTGCTCTTTTCATATCTGTGAACACTCCAATTTTCTCAGTCCTCGTCTAATTTCTACATCTCCTTTTGGAGGAGCTTTCATCGTATAATCGTTTCCTATTCCACCTTCCCTTTCACCTCAACAGCCGTTTCTATCTTTCAAACACTCTGTATTGTGCCCTTTCCTCCATTTGAACTTTGTTCTAAAACATGGTTGTTGTGTAGCAAAACTCTATGAACTAACCATCTAAAAAAAATGTGTTCTCGGACAATTTTCAAATCAATACTACGTCAAATTGAAAACATTTCGTTTACATCTCACTATGAGAGATTACGAGTTTTCCGTATCACATAAATTAAATATTAGCATATATTGATGTTGATGTTCATACAAGGCATAGTAGATCTTGAAAAACAAAACTGCCTCGTTTGAGAAGAAATTCAATGATGTTCAAGAAGAACAGAAGCAAAAGATAGTTAAGCTAAGAGGAAATACACTAGAGAATCTATATAGATCCCTTTTGCTGCTCAATGTGATACAGCTTGAGGCATACCATTCAAAATAATCAAAAAGTTCCGAGATAGACGGGCTTTGCTATTGGCAAACAGAAGACTTGGAAAAAAATTCATGAGACAGGGGAAAAGAGCTGGATGTTCATTTAAGATCGCACTAATACCAGACGAGTACGAATGACCTTCTTTCCTTAACCCACTAAATGACGAAACGTTGACGGTCATTCTTAATGGATAAGAAATGTATTGAAGAAATCCGACAACGAATTAAGGGAAAATAACAAGTAAGAAAATCGTTCTACGTGAATAACATTGAACAATGCGAAATCTTCAAAGTATACGAAAAATATAATATAATCGACCATGATTCATGTAAGGCAAATAGAGAAAGGTAAAGTATGGAATGAAGAGTGGAACAGGAACAACCGCTTCATGCGATGAAACACATAAGAATGAGCTATTCTCACAACTCTGTGTAAATCAGCATATCATGAATGTTATTCAAACAGAATATCCATTTAATCATGACATGAGCGACAATTTGAGTTACAGAAGAGAATCAAATACGTTTCAAATTTTTAGCAACAGAGCGAAGAATAAATTGTCCTTACTTGCAGAAACACCATTACAAAGCAAACATATAATTTTTACGTTGCCTGTTCTCACTCATCTGATTTAGGAAACAATTAAGATGAAAAAAAATAATTTCGCGAAATCTATAGGTTTCTGCAAAATAATTCCTTCATGTGTTCTCTCTTTTAATAGTGAAAGAATTCTGCCAAAATAGATAACCACTTGCCTAGCGTTCCATAGCAACCAAGACAAGATATCCAATGTTCTATGATCCCATCTCATACGACATAATCATTTCAGTAGTTTAGAACATCCAAAAATTAGTTCCGAAAAGAGAAAGATTACTTTTTTCAGATTTCATATCCACTCATTGAAGCCATTGTTATAAGGATTTTTGAACGCAAATCTGAAACGAGCAAAATAAAGTTCAAACTATTTTTCTATTGTACACAGTAAAATCAAAATCAAAAAGGTCATACAGTTAGAAAGATATTTCTTCAAAAATATTGTTGGGTCTGTCCTCAAATAAGGATCTCGAAAAATGGAGTGTTTTTGAGAATCCTAAGATTTCTGGTTGTATTCTATCAGATAATTACTTCTGTTTTGCAGTCATTACCCAGTGTAGTTGAAGACATGAACCGACGGTTTACAATTTGTATTCTTAACCATATTCGAAAATATATTCCGGAAAAGGAACACTCATAGCTACCATATATAAAGAAAAAATATATCCTGATTATCGGCACCAATGTTCTCACTTTATCATATATTTTTAATGCTTATCAGAGTAGATGTTATCATTTGTTTAATCATCGCCTTCTTTCTCTGCCTCCTTGTGCTTTACAACAAGGATCTAAATACTCTTCTGTTTGTACCTAATTCTTCCTATGCTTTTGTCATGCTTACTCAACGCTCCTTTAAACTAAGTAGTTAAAGTCTATTAGTAGTTATATCTTCTGAGCAAAAAGAAAAACCACACCAATACTCTAATGCCCTTTCGAACTAGAAATCATTCGTTTCTTCCCAACATGGAACGGAACTTTCTACTTATAAATTATAGTTTATCTAAAATGAAACAACGCGCGCTCTTTCTAATAACATGTAATTTGGAAACGGCTATCGATAATTCATTCAGTACCCGTTACATAACACTGAAGGAAATCGCTATCATTGTGATGCAATTAATTCAGTACTTTAGGATGATTGCCACTGGTTGTCCTGAAATATATAAGAATGAATAAAAAATAATCCAATATATAGAAAATGATAAGACACGTGGTATTCCTTGTAATGTAGTACAAAAATATCCTTTTGGAGTTTACTGTTGCGCCATTTCATTGTTTTTTCTCAGCCATGTGCCAAATGGTATTGTTTCAGGGCAAACAACTGAATTTTTTTTATCATCAATTTGAATTTAATTGATAATTATTGTGTTGATCTCATCCTCTCGTTACTGTTTATATCAAAAACTATATTTTCATCATTCTCAACTTTTCCCTCCTATCGTATCGCAGTGCTTTGTACAAAATTATTGAAATTCGAAATATTTGCTGCCAAATTAAATACTTGTGAGTGAATATTCTATTCACTTTACTATTACAGATGCTAAACGTATATTCCGACGATGAATCAACAACTTCGTCAAATGCTCATCGTTCAGTCTCATCTAGCGAAACGTCACCAGTGAAACAAACCTCATACCCGAACTTAGATGCAATTCAGAAAGAGGAATGTATGCTAGTAGGGCATATGTCATGGAACCATTATAACAGGTAATGAAAAATTCCTTATCTTTAATAAAATTGACATTTGAACTGGCAGTGGTCTGATAATGGATTTACATTTTCATTTTTAACAAATTGTCCAGCGGGTATCGATAAAGTGAGAGCACACGTCTTGATAAGCTACCTCTTATCTCTCACAAATGAACACATTCCATGTGCGGAAGTACCCCTAAATTCTCATGTTATGATATTTCAGAGAATACAAAAGTGCTCCTATTAAAGATGAAAGGGTATTAATTGATAATGAGCCTGTTTTTCCTCAAAGCCACCTTCTGTACCCGCAAATCAACGAAGCTGTTCAACAACTAAAACAGACAGGACCTATTAATTATGGAGTTGCAAATGTTATAAGAGATGGACATTGGAATTTAGCAACTAATCCAGATTTTTCTCTCTTACCTCCAACATCTTATAACAAAATCGACCCTCCACATTATTGGACACCTCCTCCTACTTATGGCAACTCGAGTAAGGCAACCATTTTCATTGAATCTTAAGCGCAGTTTTTCAGCTTTGAATTCAGATGAAAGCGATAGTATTATTCGAATGAGTGTAGAAGAAGAATCTAATCCATTATTGAAAGGTCTGAACAGATGCCATTCATGTGTAAGTTCGAAAACATTCTTTCGATTAGGAAAAAAATTAATAGAAACCAACTGAATGCTATGTAAATATTTTGAGTTCAGAAAGACATGGCTAAGCATTTGTCGTATTAAAAAGAGTCAATAAAGCAATACCGCGTAACCTAGTCAGTATATTGTATATTTGCTTCTTTATCAATTATAACTGAGTATTAACTTAAATGCTGAAGAAGAGAATAATGATTCTTAATTTAGAGACGACGCTTTACTGCCAGAAAGAAGACTAATTATTGGGCTGTAATATTTTTACTAATTGTTGCGTTTTGCATGTTATTATCGCTTTTCCCTTGGGGAATCCTTAGTTTAGTTGTTTTAGCCTGTATTCCTAGTCAATTTAATAAGCCTACTTGTAAAAAATGCCAACGGAAATGTTGTTAAAATAAGTTACAGTAAACAAACTTCTATTTGATTTTTCGTAATGTTCCATTATTGTGCTTCAGGAGATCTTCAAAAGTCCAAGCAACTCCTGGAAGGCATTCAAATATAAAACTGAAACATTATAATTGAATCTAACCGTTTTCAACAGTACTGCCATCCGGATTGGTAAAGGGACTATCCACTTCTTTTCTCAGAACCTTGTCGCAATCTACTTGTGAGAAGAATGCTATTGTCTGAAGTTGATCAGTAACTCAATAGAAAAAGTCACAAACCTCAGGTAATTGAGATATTCCAACTTTCTCAGTAATGTATGCTCTTACATAAAGATTACTAAGCATGAGAGCTAAACCTAGTCTTGAAGCCTCTTCTTCGGGACATAAGTATCTTATCTAAACTTCATATTTCACCAAAAATTCACTGATGTATGTTTTACTTCATCATGGATTGATATTACAAACCTATGCTTGATTGAATATTCGTTACAAAGCCATTCCATGCATACCAAAAGTAGATGTAAGAAATCTACAGCAGATGATTGAACAAGCTGCACCGTAGCCAAACGATTATTAGCACCTTACTCACGTACTAACCCAATTCATCACTGATCTTCTATATTTAAAGTTGAATCTATCTCTATCGGGTGCTTCATCTGGCAGCTGGGCTAATGAGTCACCTAATTGACAGTTCAGAATGGGTGTTCGTAATAACTTTTTTTGCGATTCTTGCTCGAGGAAGTTGAAAGTGGCGGATTCGCTGAACCTTCTGTATAATTATTACTAATATTTGCCTTACTATCCTCCATTATAAAGAAAGTGAGGTTGCGCCGAATTTTCATACATAAACTGAACAATGTCCTCCGTTCCAATACTGCAGTTATCTTGGCTCCTCAATGATTCAGTCACATACTTTTCGAAATCAATCAAGGTGTCACTGTAATTAACTTAAAAAAGATTCAAGTTTCAATATTTAAAAACCATTGCAAATTAGAGTAAGCAGGAACATAAAAATCGCCACCAAACCCAATAAACTCTAGTTTGCCTCCCGAGTTATTGAATCTATGAACTAAAGGTAGTAAAACTTTATTAAGTTTATGCCATCTGCAAAGAGAGCTTGATTAAATTACATAAAACGGTCAACCTGCTCAAAGTTCCTTTAGTCAGTGCAAACAGATTTTTACTGATGATTCTCGCATTTTGAGCAGAGACACCACTTTGGATTAAGAATAATTCAGCATGTCTTTCACCAGATCCATATAAACGAGCATAATTGAGAATCTGAATAACAATCAATCGCAATGAAGTAAGAGAATAAGAAAGCAATTTCTACAGTTGTCTGAAACTATAGCAAGCATGTAATGATCAGTTTTTACAAAAGAAAGAATAAAAAGTATACCTTCGCGTTATGTCTGCTAATTCCAAGCTGTTTAGCAACAACTGTATGTAAATCAGTTCCATTACTTTTTGTTCCAACTAGCATCATTTCACTAAATGGTGTGACACCTGCCCTTCTTTCGCTTATAGCTGAAGACTAATTGGTTTTCATAACTTAATTATAAACAATACGCAAAGATTTGGCTGCACTTGCATCCCCGAAGAGGCCAGCTAACCATTGTTCTTGAGAGTCTACATCAGCTCCAACAAGTTTGAACCCAGGTGGTGCTTGGACCATACTTTTGATTCCAGTACCCAAATTGTTATCAGACGAAAATAACAGTGAGTAAGAAAATGAGTAAAAGATGCTATACTTACAGCTGAATTCGTTAAGGTGACCCACAGTTTATGAACACTTCTCCTTGATACAGTACCAGCAGGAACAATAGCTGGAGCAATGGCACCCACAAGGTCATTATCGGTCCCAACTTCCTTTTCGTACCAAACAGGGATTTCAGAATGATACCTCTCCCTTAATTCATTCATTTGATTCCGTAGATAAACTTTCACTAACCTGTAGCTTGTCCAAAAACGTGTTGATCTTAACGACATCAGAACTTTTTCAAACTGATCCTGATATCTTGATGGTTTCAAAAGCTTTTCATCAAGTTCGGAAGCGAACATTTTTGAAAGTATATCTCCTACATTCCCTCTTCCACTCTAAGAGAATCGAGTCAGTAATCATGAAAGCCTAGCGTATACCGGATGAGGAAGTTTGTAGAAGTCACATCCTCTGAAACGGACTGTTGCAGCAAGTGGTAAAGTAACTTTTTTTGATATCTTCATATTTTTCTCAACAAACTCCTGGATGCTACTAAAACAAGCAGAAACCAAAAGTCAGAGAAACCTAAAGCAATACTCAGAAGGAATGTTAAAGTCTTCGTCCTGATCTTGAACAGTCTTCCTGACTTGAAAAAAACTTATTATACTGGAGAAATAAACTAGGCTGTCTACTTGATGTAGGTACCAAGAAACCCCATCCATGGCTTTTACTTTTATATACGGGATATGGTCCATATGTCATACCGAAAATCGCAGGGATCATAGCACTCTTTGTCACAACATCTGAAAAACTTCTAATTGACAGAAGAAATTTTTTTTTTCAGAAAAACCTTCACTAACCAAATTTGATATATCCGATTGAACGAGAGCTCGCTTTCTGAACAATTTATAAAACCATCTAAATAAGCTTTTTCTTTCACTTCAAATACTGTCAAGTTCTCTCACCCAGGATGATTTTGTTTTTTATCTAAAGACCAGTCGAACTGCCACATCCACGGATCGTTCTGTGCAGCAGAACCGTTACTACTAGAAAGAAAAAAATTCAGATATAACTGAACGATAACCACTTTTCTTCTATCAACAATTTTGCGCAAGTGACGATAGCTTGAGCTGCCGTCACCTTTTTATTCTCACATGTTTCCTCATTAACCTTAAAAGCACTAGTTTTTCTCGAACCAAAAAGGTTTAAACTTTAAAGAAATCGTTCCATTGTCGATTGATGGGAAGATAAGCGTTGCCAACGTTAAGAAAGCCGTAGAGTGTAACAAGACTAGGAAATCTGCAAAATGTGCGTTACCCTATTCTTTACAGCATCACCTTCTGACCTTTCTTTGAACTTGGGCCAAAGCTTAGAATATATTTTTCCTGTAGCCACACAATCCATAGCACAATATGTCATCAATTCCTAAAAATTTAATGCATCTAGAAAAATTTTTTTTAAAAAAACTTGAAATGATGTACGGATATCCTCCATGCTCGCTGTTACGAAATATCTTTGATTTTCTTTACTTAGTTCCTCATTGAAAAAATGGGTATAAACATCTGATAGAGAGTTTTTGCTAACTCTTTGTTTCCAACTATCTCTCCATGCAAATGTGCTACCCATCTTTAAATATTTCTCTCTACTCTATTCCTTCCAACTTGACAACCTCAGCCAGAACCAAATCGTCCACTTCATACATAGAACGCTGGTGATCTGCCATACCGGAAATTGGTATCCACATGGACATAGTATCCATGAATCGAATAGCAGAATCCTATTAACAATAAAAATACAGTTTTTCAATCATTTCAAACCTCTTCGTGATAAGGCTCTTGTGAACGAACTCTATCATATCCCACGTTATGCCCTATTGCTATCCTACTTATATCTTTCCCTATTCAAATAGCAACATCGAACCTTCTCCATGAACGCAAACCTCCGAGAGGAATCAAATGTTTTAGCCTTGTATGTTCCGGGTATTTCGAATCATTCAAAAGAAACTCGCTGCACCATCCATATCTTAATAATAGTTCAGATAGAAAATGATAATGTGATAATACACTGCTTCCGAGGATATAGCTACTGCTAAAGTAGGAAGTTGACCTCTAGAAACACAGGTTTCAACATCGAAAACAAAAACATCTTCTAGCGGATAAGGAACCTGTGAGAATTAGACTTTTATTAACATTAAAAAAACGAACGGGTTCAGGATGTCGACCATCTCTTGTATATCGTAACCATCCCGTTTTCATTTGCCATGTTTTCGGAAGTTCAACATTTTTTTCGAAAACAACCGTCCCTTCTTCTAATAACTTGAAATATTCCCCAACTAATGTGTCCGATATACATCTGTACATCGTTAAGTTTATTAATTTTGAGCCATTGTTCAAAACCCGAAATGATCTTGTAGGGAATTGCCTTGTAGAGCGGGTAACTCAAGTTTGACTTTACATGGCACAGCCGTAATAGGAGCTTCAGTTCGAAACAGGTACTCGTGCAGGTATTTTGGGATTGTTGCGATTTCTTTCTCTTTAAGCTGAAAGAAGAACTGATGAAAGACGAGTACTAAACCTACATAAACAGAATTTGAGCTGTGCCTGCGAAATACTTTTGACAAAAATTGTCTGCCTTTCATTTTCTGAAGTGAACGAGAATATGAAAGAAATTCCAAAATGCACAGTTAGCCAAGTCATATAAAGCGTTAACATAACATGTTCAAAAAGCAAATAATTCAGAAAAACTTAATTGATTTATTCAAATAAATTAATCTTATGTACATTTAACTTTATCGTCCAGCTTCCATTAAAGCTGTTTCACGAGCTAAAACGCTCTCATCGAATTGGATGACGTAGGCTGTTCCATTATGCCAATGAGCTGTGACTTTACAAGGAAAATTATTACTCTAAAAGAAGAAAGACCGTTGGAAATCAAAAATATGAAAATACCTCTAACATCCCTTCTACTATCCCGGCTACAAACGCTGCACAGTTCAGCACACCTTTATCCTTTGGAACAGAGATGTAAGTATTAACGACAGGATCTTTCTCAATCAATAAATCTAAACAAAGTTTGAAGATCTCAGCAAAAATTTACTCACAAGTAGAAGGATCATCATTAGACCTCTCTAGTTTATCTGCTTCTTTGTTGAAAATACTTTTCCATACAGTAGATTTTATAAACATAAGCATTCCTTCAAACAAAAATTACAAGAAAGAATATGTCGTAACTCTTACCTAAATGCTTGGTCTCACGCTTATATCCACGTTCTCGCAGGGTAATCACATCTAATAGTCTAACTCCTACATTTTTACCATATGATGCTAATCTAAACATAGCAAGTTTAACTAATTTAAAGCAAAACTTTACTTGTCATGAAGATCACTAACTGTATCAACTCGGTTTTGGGCATATTTGACCATTTCAGAAAATAAAACCGCAAAAGTTGACAAACTTACCTAGAACAAAATGTTTTAACATATTTGAATAGTTGTCAACCTCATTTTTCCCTCTGCTTAATGTTTTATCCAGAATGCCCACAGCTTTAACCATCGCAATTTTTTGAAATGTTCTAAACTGATTTTGTTCTACGTAATTCAGAGTTTTTTAAACCAAATTCAATGCTAAGTCATTTGTAAAAAAAGTTTTAGATTTGTATCAACCTATTAGATATAGATAACTGGGGCTAAGAAAAGTATAATGAATTCAATTTCAAACAAGCTTAGAATATATTCACATTAGAGAAACTATAATATTGGTTTTATTGGTCTCGGAGCGCTACCTACCGTACTGAGAACACGACGACTAGCCAGCCCGCCCTTCAACATTTCTATGTTCTAGTAATGCCAGTAATCAACAACCTATGTATTAAGATGCAAAGCTTTATACAGTTGTAAAGCTGTTTGCGAAGATTATCTCCATTATAGATGGCGTTCCATACTTCATATAATTCTTCTCGTTACATTAGAAACTCCAAAATTCAACTAAAAATCTCTAATAATTATTAAATCTTGACAAAACAATTTTAAACAACTTAGATTTTCTTTTTAGTTAGGCTAGAATTCGATCGACAGTGTTTGTTCCATCATGCAAGCGTTACCACCTGGACATCGATGTAAACCGTAAGTGTTTCACATATTAATTACATTCTTATCAGTTAGCATTTGCTTATGCTAATTATAAACACTTTCAAACTATATTGAGCATGAACTAAAATTCAGGAGAATCGGTAGAGTCGAAGTTGCTTGTCAAACCGATGCTCTTGTAGCGGGGACTAATAATAATAACAGTTCTACGCCAACCGTTTCACAGACGAAATGCAACAACTTGGGGATATCGGGAACAGGAAAAAGTTGTCCTCGTAAATTTTTTTTTGTTTATTTCCTAGTTATAGCCAATGAGCAAGCGGTCGAACAGCCAAATGTTAATAAGAAAAATGGACAAGTTGCGCATAAGGAACATAATATTGCAGCCATCAGTACAGCAAGTGTCGCGAATTGTGATGAAAGTATGATTTTATCCTACTTGCAAATTGCTTATAAATTTCTTCAGCTGGTGAAGGCACGTTGATTTTATGTATTACCGGATTTTCTAAAATGAGTGACACTATATGTTCCCCCAATCAACGAATAAGAGGAGTACCATGGTATCCTATTGACAATTCTGAAAGAATCTCTTACGATTTGTTTGTAGGAGGATAATGGTGATGCCAAAACAACATATGGTGCAAAAGAAGTCACAAAAGTGTATGGGGTTTTTCCTACAGTGCTGCCCAGATAGGACATATTCAGAGTGAGCTCGCTTACATTTTTTTTATCACTATTCTCCTTTTCCTATAGTGCATGGTCATGTAAAGCAGATGCTGAAATGCGATTATTAGCTGTTAAATCTGGTGCTACTAATTTTGTTAGGAAAACGAGCCACGTGTATACAGCTAAAGAAAATGATTGGGGTTATTCCTGCTTCATGACATGGGCGGTATTATTATCGATCTGTTTTATCCTCACTATATTCTGAGTTCAGGATGTTCTTGATGAAAGTCAAGGGTATATACAAAATGATCATGTCACATTAGAAATCACAGTAAAGGCTGAGTGGCCGAAAAATATGATGTGAGTTAATATTTCAACTTCAACAACTAACCTTAACTGTCAACAGGACCAGAGCAGATTTTTGTAAAAGTATTGATCAATGGTATAATCTAGCTGAAATGCAAATGAGTAGGGGATTAGTGGATTTGTCTATTGAAGCTAATGCTCAAGTTTGTTTGCAATGTTCTAATAGTTTTAAATGTTACATGCTTTAGGCCTTGAAATTTTGTAAGGATAAGGATATTGAGATGAAAGAGAAGTTAGAGAAGCAAAAAGAGCGGTTAGTAAAAAAGAAAGTGTTAGATAGTATCAATAGGATAGAGAATAGTAAGTTTATTGATGGTATAATTGGAATTTCTCTACAAAACAGAATCTGAAGCTCCTAAACCTGTTGAGCCTTTAAAACCCACCTCCCTTCGGCAAGCATTAACCGGTGCTCAAAAAACTATCGCTGCCAAAGGAGGATCTAAATCTTCTGGAAAAAAAGATAAAAGGACCATGCAGCAATTGAAGAAGAAAAAAGCTGAGATGATCAAGTGAGTCACTTCATGTATCCAAGCTTACCACAGTTAATGCAGGGATAAAGAGATGAAAAAACGCAACGAATCGACAGAATGGCACGGAGATGTAACTTCGGTTAACTCAGCTAGTTCTGAAGATAATGGTAAATCACCGATTTCCTCATCACCGCCTGTCTCTCCAAAGGTTAGTTATTATTTCTGGTCTTTCTTTCCCTCTTTACTAGAACGATCTTTTTTGTTCATCCTTATAACGTTTTAAATATTTAATATGCGTTGGAAGCATTTACAAAATGATTTAAACAATTGTCTTCGAACACCGACTTTTTTTTATATTAGTAGAACGGTTTTACTTTTACTAATGTTTCTATTGTCGTTTAGCTTTGTACATTTAACTATCAGGGAGTTAAGTTTTGGAACATATTTTCTATTTTTAATATTTCATTTGCATCATAATTTCCCTTTCATTATGTTATAAAAATGTTATATGAATTTCAGGACAAAGCCGCTAAAGCAGAAGAGTTACCGACGAAGTTCGGAAGGTACTTTTTATTTGTTTTTTGGAGTTCATTATTGATTTGTCAGGAAAAGACCATCTGATGATTGTTCGTCTACTACTGGCTGCGTGGGAGAGGACTGTAGCAGTGATCTATCAGATGATTATCAGGAGGATGATAGTATTCAAGGCAGTAAGATAGTTTTGAATAATTTTTGCTATTCGTCTTGTGAAGTGTGTGAACAATGTGCTAGTGGACAGTGCGATTCTGTCTCTTCATCGGAAGAGCCAGCTGTGTCAGTTTCCATGACCGAACATGGGTGTCAAACTGAAGACAACATAGATGTTGATGGTAATCCTATAATTTTTTCACCTTTACCAATTCCAAGACGGGAAAGGGTATGTTTATGTTCGCAAAGATGAGTAAACGACCTGACTTAAGAGACACGCCGGGAGCGGAACACCGCAGTTTATCGAGAAGGTAATAAGCGAACAGCTATATAGAATTGGTCAAGCTACTGATGAAGTTTTACAGAAAATTTACGCAACGGTTTGCCATACAGCTTTACTTGATTAATCGTTTGTTTGCTTGTAGCCAGATGATAGAAGTGAAAGCTTCGAACGACAACGATTAACACGATTTTATACTGATGTATTTGCAGTTGATAATCTAGTTGTAGAATATTCGTTGCCTTTAATTTTTAATGTTTTCCAGGACTTGGTCAAAGATCTTGAGCTTGCTCTTTCAGAGGTTGACACTGCTTCAACCCCGGCCATAGCCTCCTTGTCCACAAGCATTTATAACAGATTGGATAATCTTTCAGATGTGAACTTTCATTAATTTAATAGTATAACCTAACCCTAATTTCAGGATCATGGAAGTTGCTGCTTAGCTGCTGGATTATGTACTGTACACTCAAGAAGGATATTGCAAGCTTCTATCGAGTTTTGCAAAACCGTCGCGTTTCTTTATACAGATGATGTGGTACATTTTAATGTTTTTTTAAATTGTTGGTTTGCTTGATAGGTTGAACAACTGATTGCAATGTTCGATCGACCCACAGAACGTGTTTCGCCCAAACAAATCAGTAGTCCACCACCACCCGTTAACATTCATGGTATTCTTTCTTTCTTTGTATTCTAAATTTTTTGTATCGCATTACAGGTCGCAAGTTCGCCACGGCGGTTCGTAGAAATCCAGGTTCAGGAACATCTGATGTAACCAGAGGCACAGACACAGGGAGTGAAGTTGATGTGAGGAGAATCGTTGACGAGGTTTTTAAAATCTCTCTTGCAGGCATCTAAAAAGGAGGTTGATGAAGCTAAGCTTTCTTCCGCAGCTGCAGAAATAGCCAGTCTATTCAGGAAGCATCGCAGAGGTGATTTTCTTATCTGAGAACCATTTTATAATTGTGTAGTTTTCGTTGAAGAAGTAGTTTTCGACTTGGATGAGGAAGAATGCGAACGAAGCATTAGAACATTACTATCCGATGTTGGCGGATACAATGTAGACGATCTGGTAAGAATTTAAGTTGGGTTTATCCAAAAGTCAGCTTCAGATACTTGAGAAAATTCATCACATGAAATTCGCAGAAAGTGAGTCTGCTTTGTTGCCGCTTCTTCATCAACTCTTCGAATACTCTCAAGCATTAGCTGTTAGTTTGCTATAGGTTCTTACTAAGTGCTTTGTTTCTCTACACAGGCTTCTGGTGATCGTATGGAAGAAATGTTGGACGCTGCTAAGAAGATGCAGAAATATCACCAAAGTACCAACGGCATCAGAGCAGCCGAAGCCATGCGGAAAAGCCAAGAAAAAGTTGCTGAGTTGGATGCTGGTATTCAAAAGAAAGACACAGAGTTGAAAGAAAAAGATGAATGTATCAAAAAGGTATAATAAGAGTCTTGTCCGACCAAGAGAATGATTATTTAAGCTGGAAGAGCAATTGCAAAAGTCGGAAGTGGAGAAGAAAGCAGAGCGAGAAAAAACAGAGCAGGTTCAAGTGCAACTTAAAGAAGTTCGGGGACAGTTGAAAAAAATGGAAAAGAAGTCCAAAAGTGATGAGTATGTTGACCTCAATGGATTGCACCATCTAAAAAAATGTTTAAGGACTCGAATTGCTTCCCTTCAAGCCGAAAAAATTGAGACTGATGATAAGATAAAGGCGTTCAAAAAAGAAATCGAAAGTATTAAGAAAAAAACCGTTGATGAAAGGGCTAAAGCCAAGAAAGAGAAGGTAAATAAATAAACAATCAGATTATATTTTTCATAATTTAATAGGAACGTGATGCTGAATTAATCCGGAGAAATGAAGCCGACGCTTTGGAAAAAGAAAACGAGCGAGAACGAGAACGAGCATCTTACGAAGAGAAAATATTAGTTGCTAAGAACAAAGAAATCAAATGGGAAAAGGTATAACTCACTTTAGACCTACATATTCACTCAAATTTGTTTTCAGGAAAGAAAAGCTTTAACTGTGTCCCTCAATGCCATGACTGAACGTGTGCGAGCTTCTGAGATCAGTCAGATTGAGTTGATGTTCAGTTATGGATCGACCACACTGAACAGAGCAAAAGATGATTGTCATGCCGGTTTATTTGAAGCAGAGGAAAATCTGAAGCGGTGAAAACAAAAAGGGAATTCAAATTATACTTTATGTTCTCATTTTAGGGCCAGAACGCATGCTGATATGGAAACCATGAAGAAAAGCATGCAAGAATGGCGCAGTGCTTCCGACGAAGTTGATAAGCTTTTGGTATCTCTGAAGACTGATTACGAATCTACGTTGGAACAAGTGACAAAAGGAACTAAAAATCTCAGTCAATGTGAATTCAAGGTTTCGCAAAACTCATTCTTTCTTGAATTACCTTGTTTTCTAGATTCCATCACTTCCTACTCTTCCCAAAACCGTTCGCGTACCCCCTGTGCAGATAGTTCAACCTTCCCTAATCCCCTCGCCAAGTATAGCGCCTCCTCCTGCCGGTGTTATTGGACAGCCTCGTACACCTCAATTGCCTGGTAATCGCTTCTCCCCATCAGGTTAATATTATTGTGGTTCCAACAATACTTTTTCTTTTCAGTTCACCTACGCGATGTGCATTCCCCAACCACGAGTGCATCGAATGTTATGTTCAACAACCCGTCTCCTCCGTCTCAGCGTAAAGGAGCGGGAAGTGCAATGCGCGTAGAGGAAGGTAACCCAGTGCCCGCTACGTCACCTTGGTCGTGGTCAACACCGTTAGGAAATCTCTCTGATATGATTCGTCCTGTCGTAGATCATCAAAATCACAGCCACAACAATCACGAGTTATGGCCTGGTTCTGAAACTCCAAATACTGCTCAAGTTCGAGATACATTTTCGTTCGATTGTTTATTGTTATCTAACTTACAGATCCATCGTCCAATGTTTGCGCCTCCTGCTGGATGGACAAATGCTAGTCCACAAACGAATTGGCGTCAAAATCCATCTAGATCACCTGGAATGCCCTTCTACGACAGCTAGTCGATTTCTATTTGCTCTACTATTAATTCATATTTCTTAATTCGTCTTTAAAAAGTCTGAGATGTATTAATAAATTTCATAGAATTAACTGACACATGTTTTGTTATTATATAGAGATGACCTTCAGGAAAAGGGCATAAGAATATCCTGATCCGTAAAAAGTGAATGGAATAAATGTTTAATAAATAATCTTTCTATGAACATCCATTATAAAGCGATATGTTACTTTTGTTTCATACGAAGAAACTTCACAATACTAGCCACCCTCTGGTTACTCAGAAGTCTTCGGTTTGCTCTAGATGATTCTGACGGTTCGGCATCCTCATAAATTGCTGAATACTTTCTGGATGACTCAGTTGGAGTAAGCAGACCATTATTTGACAACATCCATTTCTGTAAATAGTTAGCAAGAAAAATTGAGCAATGAACTAACCTCGTGTACTGGTGACTCCCTGGCATTTATGAGACTGTTTACTTGATTGTAAATATCAATAGCATCCTCTCTAGACTTGCACTCAACTTGTATGGATTTCCAAATACTCTTTTCGGAGTTCTGAGAATTAACTTATATTGAGCGGAAAAACGATTGCAAACCTCTGGAATATCGTGAGCTACTTCCATAGGGAAGTCTGGGGAAATCAAGCCTTTGTCCACTAACAAGAAGGTGAACGTCAAATAATAAGCCTGCTCTACAACAAACAACACCAACACCATAGCTATAATACAAAAATCTTACCTTTCGTAGATTTCGATTTTTCTTTTTCAAGATATTCAACGTTGCACATGAGCTCCCACGGTACTTTGGTAATCTTTTGATATTGCTGAGGGAAGAAAGATTTTCTTCTCTCCGACTCACTTGAGAACGGTACTATTTCAAAAGAAGAGTATCGAATTACTGCAAGGAAAAGTTATTATTCTTCAGTAGAAATTATATTCTACCCAAGTTTGCTGTCCAAGGCCATTTGAACCTATGTAATCTAGTAACTTTGAAACAAGAAATCACTTCACTAGGAGATTCCACGACATCATGAACAGGAAAATCTAAGATTAAATTGATTGACAACGCCACTTTCTCATGACTAATCATACCGAAAGCGCTATTTCTATTACTTGTAGGACTGGTCGGAGAAACTATACTTATTTGGGATGTGAACTGGGGCTTTCTGGGATTAAAACCAACTCGCGAACCTTCAATTTGAAAAATCATGAAAAGCGGCATCAAAAATTGCCCACTGTTTTTTCTATATACAACAAATTCTGTACATCCACATGAAGCAACATACGACTCTTTGCTAAAAGTCTTTCCTTCACATGCGAGTGACTCGACTATGTAGACAGCATCTTTGTTCGGAACCAGGTAAAGAAATTTAGAAAATCAGTATTGATACCAGGAATGAGCTCCACTTCGTTCTGTTTGGACTCTCTCCATCTTCGTAGCGCTTCATCACAGAGCCAACCAATGCTGGTTGAAGCTTTGGGAATATCAATAAGGAACTCTTCACCAGAAGTGAAAAAACTGAAAAGAACATCGTAGTATAAGTTGCATGCTTTATTTATAGAACAATAGTTCTTATAAAACTGAGCAAAGGTACGAACGCGGGGCGAGATGATATTCAACTTTGGTACAGACGAAAACAGACTGAGTTGAATCATGACGAGAAACAAACGGGAATTTGAAATAAATTCATAAACATACACTATAACCGTTATTTTCTTTTCGTTTTCCGGAAACACTTCGTTATTATTAGCGCGAACAAGAGCCAGAGAAGGAAAACCAAGATCACCAACCACACGATTTTTCTCCAGAGGAGGAAACTCTCTATCAATTTCCATAGTGTCATCATCAACGATAAACAAAGAATATTCCTCAACTTTCCCCCTATTAATCAGTAATTTAATTTTGTTATTGTAAACATCATTACGGCAGCTCAGTAGAAGTGAGAAGAAAATATCTTAGACAGCATAAACCAACTAACTCAAACACCATGGCATTAGGCAAAACAAAAACCTACAGACTTTCTATATGTAGAGAAATTAGAAAAAACTAACCTCTAAGCCAAGAGATCCATCTTCTCCAATCTCAGGATATTTCACGATAAACTTTTGACAACTTCTTGATTCTGGCACAGCTTCGAAGCGACTATATTCATTCAGAGGATTTTGAAATTTTCGAAGATTTTTATCGATTTGCCTTAAATCCGAGAAATTTCAAGGTGCTCAAACGATAGACACACTTGGAGAGTTCCGATACATTTGTTTGTGGCTGGATGGGCTCCGGCAATTTTCTTATAAATAATGTAGAGATATCATCCGTTTTATCAGCAACTCAAATAACAAACTCCTTAAAACACAACGCTTCGAGATACCTGAAGAAAGTTGATAACTCTTATTACTGCATACAGTACGTGAGCGCATTCGTTTTTCTATCTCCCATTTAGACCCTTTTGGTTCAGATTCTAAGATCTATACAGAAGGACGAATAAAGAAACTGTTACAGTTTTGGCACCTGAAACTGCTGTTCCACAAAAGGATCCTCATCCTCGCTTTCAGAAGGTAACTGTCGGAAGTTGAGAGGCAGTCCTCCATATTTGCCTCTTCTAATGAAAAATATTCTCGGCATTCCGTGAGTAATACCTGTTGGGTGGTGGTATTATCCTAGCAGTAAAACCCAGGTCATCCTCAATCCGGAGTTCATGCCTTATCAAATCAATCAATTCCCTTTCGTCAAAAAAAGCCATAGGGCATAATGTCTAACAAAATAATAATTTGAAGATCAGCTACTAGAGATCCAAATAAAGGACATAACCATAAAGAGGCAATGAATAAAATGTACAGGAGGGAATGAGAGTTTATTAACAGATAAATAACAATTACAAGGCAGGATGGAACATCATCAGTCTCGTCTAGACTTCTTTCTATCTCTCTCTCTTTCTCGATCTTTTTCTCGTTCTCTGTCTCTTTCTTTTTCTCTCTTTCTTTTATCTCTGTCTTTTTCTCGTTCTCGTTCACGTTCTTTCTCACGTTCACGTTCTTTTTCTCTCTCACGCTCCTTTTCTCTTTCTCTCTCTTTTTCTTTCTTACGCCTTTCTTTCTCACGCTCTTTCTCTTTTTCTTTTTCTTTTTTCTCTTGCTTCTTTCTTTTTTTCTCTTCCTTCAAAGCCTTCAGTAATTCTTCGTTATTATCCACAACAGGTTCAGCCTCCAAAGCTGCTCCGACAACATCTGTTTTTTTCATGCTGAAAGAAAATGAGTTCAATGCCGAGAATATAAAAAACTCACTTCTCCATTGAGCTACCTGGAACGTAATCTTTTTTCAGTCCAAAAGCGTCTCGCCATTTATCGCGGCTCTAGATGGAGAGATAAATGAATATCAACCAAACAAAGTATACCTTCTTACCAAAATCCATCTTGGCATGACTATTTCGAATATCAAGTTCATCATCAAGATTTAACTCGCCCGATTCTAATTGGCTTAGCAACAGTTTTCGATAATCGCTCGTTTTTTTTTCTATCTCGTCATCATCAAACCCCTATATAACAGTTAACTTTAATACCAACAATTCAAAGAAAATTACTTTTTCTTCCATGAGCATTTCAAACTCTGCTACTTTAATCTCAACCTGTCTTTTTCTCTCATGATTTAATAAATCCTGATTTGGAGCTTTATTAACTTCTGCTTCCATTCGCCTGATATCATCTTCGGCATTATATTCGATTTTTTTCTTAAATAAATGCAGCTACTATAAAAAAATGAAAACTTAAACTTCAAACCTACTTTTGCAAGAAATAAACTTGATAAATTAGATTGAACATAGCCATTTGTGCCAGAGCCTCTGGCCGTTTGTAAGCCAATACCATTATATGACATTTGGAGTTCTTTCTGAAAACGATTAGGAATATGTATAAAATAAGATTGAAATTAAAGAAATATTCGGAGCAGCTGAAATTCAAATTCTTAAACTTCAGATAAACTCGAAAGAAAAAACAAGAAAGAGAAGAAAATAAGAAAAAAATTATAACACAAATTGTGAAATTTTGAGCAAATGGATGTTATATTCTAATTTGAAGTTATAGAGTCAATCATTGAGTTTTTTGGATTTTTCTTAAGATAGTATTATCACATAAAGAGTTTCCTTTTAACAATACACAAAACCATAGACTTCAATCGTGCCATATAGAAGCCATCTTTTTCGTATTCAAATGTTAAAGGTTTTCTTAATCGTGTCGAGACTATAAAGACCATGAGCTCAGTACTCGGTGCGAAAAAAAACAGTTGAAACTGGGCGTTTGAGGTTGCTGCAAGAGATACCAGTACAACCGCCAACAGTGCTATAGTTCAATAGGGGTCGGATATATTGCTTAATCTTCGCAATACAAACAACGAATTCTGAAATATATTGCAAGAACAGTTATTCAAAAAATATGGATGTTGTTCCGAAGCATTTCTTATCTCTCCTCACGATATAATATAATCAAGAATAATGAGTATTGTTTCTTATTTTGTTTCTTTATTGAACATATGGAGAATATGAAGATATTAATCCTTGTTGTATATCATGAGGTCACCTGGTAAGATCCAGTTAATAGAGGATGTAGGGGGGGGGGGGGGGGTTCAATGTTGTTTACGCATTTTGTTAAGCCAGGCCAACATAGCCTGGTCCGATGAAGTCAAATACCCTATAGCTTCATAACCTAACCCCCAGCCTTTGTTGTCCTACAAGGTTTCTTACTGTTTGTTCAAGTCAAGTGCACTCTTCATCTCAGCTTCTGCTTTGCTACCTTATTTGTAACACTTTACATTTCTTGTACTGTTGTACCTTCTTCCAATTCACTTTCAACAGTATAATGTTAGGATCGATTTATGAAACTTAAAATTTTCCGTATTACGCATTCCCTTTCCGTAATGTTTGCTGTTCCTATCGTTCCGCACAGGAATGTTTCTCTACGCCCATATTAGTCAGAAAACTCATATCAAATCGTCAACACGCGTTCAGATTCAGAATACTTATTACTTATTAGAGTAGTTTCAGTTTATGCAACAATCTACTGGATTAGATGGTCTTCTTGGGAAGGCCGTTACAACAGGTACTAGGTATAATGCGGAGCCAAATAAGGAGAACACTACTCTTTTTGAGGATGCAGTTATGGTAAGTTATTTATTCTTATCTGTACGGTTATTATTTCTGGATTATTCACAACCATAAGTTTCTCAACCATGTTCTTAATCTAATTTTAGAGCTTACTTCGAGCGCTACCTTCTGTTGATCCTACAGCTCGTTTATCCTTGGCCAACCATTCCGTTGTGGAGCTTCTGAGCAATTCTCAAGTTATTTTATCTTCTTTGTCTACATCAGCTTCTACTCGAAGTAAGATACACAGACTTTTATTCATCATAGGTAATTTCTTTTTGTTGGTTGTCTTTTCAAGTTTTATTCAGCCATGCATAATATACGACTCCGAAGATATATGGCCGCAGATCTTGAACTGTGTCATCCAATCTTTGAATGTCTCAAACGTTCCCTTAAAGAGCAACTAGGACCTCAAAACATGATTGACATTTTGAGGCTGTTACAAGTAAGTAACTTATACTAACCCTTTATACTGCATATTTCAGGTGTTGACATATGAGAAAACTATCGTTCTAGGCCAATGGACTAATGATTTGATATCTTTTCTTATGTCTGAAGTGTAATCTTGCTTCTTAAAAATTATTTTTTTTCATGTTTATTTTTCAGAAATAGAGAAGATGAGATGGAATGGATGCCGTACTGTATTACTATTTTATGCAACTTAGCTTCGAGATCAAAAAACGTATGCACTAAAATCAAACGATCCGTACGTTGAAATAGTAACTTAAATAGCTTTTTAAAAATTTTTTCAGTCTTCGTTCAAAGTGTTTTGTCGAAGGATTCTTAAGCTTCTTTCTCATGATTCCAGAGTAGTTGTCGTATCGTGTTTAATATTAGTGGGATATTTAGACGAAAAGTTTAGAGATATGGTATGTGACAAATAAGCATATAGATATCAATTATGCATCTTAAGGTTTATTGTCCTCAGAATATAGCCGAAACTTTTAAGTGTGTTTTCAATGTAGTAGCTACGGGAGATGGGGATTGCTTGTTGACACGACAAATCGCTTCTGATCTGCTGAAACGTTTAGTAGTTTCCGATGCTCCCACAGTACATATTTTTCTCCCAAAAAAAGCTCAACTTCCTGTTTAGATCTCTTCTGTTCCTGTTATAACGTCTACTGGGAGAGATGTGATGAATTATCCGTTTTTTGAAAGTAGTATTCAGAGAGTTTCCGAACTATTCGTCACACTTGATCCACGTATCGAAGAAAGTGTTAAGGTTGAGTTGATTCAAAACACAAGAAGAACTTTGTTTTGTAGATCTATGATCTCATTCTCTCTTTCTGTAAGCTCACTCAGCTGCGCAGTTTTGTGTGTGGAGCCATAGTAAGCTATCACCTTGAGATTCAAACAAATATTTTTTTCAGATTAGAACCCCATCTACAGAATCAAGATTGACAACTCCCATTCTAGCAGTTTTGAAAACCGCTTCAATGTCCCCTACCTCTGCCATTGACGCTCTTATCCCTATAAAAGCAATGAGACTTCTCACCCTACTATGTAAAGAAATAATCGAGTCTAATCAAACCGTGTCTTCTTTTCTACCTCCTGCTCGAGTTATTGATATTGTCGGTAGGTTACTTTTCTTTACTCTGCCTCACAATTCTTTTTGAGCCAATGCACTGAAGACATCAGTAGTGACGAGTGACGAAGATGCTACGGGTCAGTGTGAGCTGATAGTGGAAGGATTGAAATTAGCTGAAGGTATCCATGAGAATTTCTACTTATTCAAATTAGTTTCTTAGTTTGTTCGCAAGAAGAAGATTTCCGTTCTGAACTACTCAATTTGGCTTCAGCTGCGTTATGTAGACATATAGCAGAGTTTCAACTACTCACGAATCCGATAGTTGTTCAAATGTCAAAGCCTCCAACTCAGCGAGTTTCCAAGCTACCGGAATGGAGGTGGGTTTTAATAAGTGTATCTTCGTTATTAACAGTAGTTTTGAAGTGTTCATGGAGTTGCCATTGTTTTGGAGATGATTAGACTTTTGGCTGCTTTGAAAGATCATTCGAAGCCTCATAAAATAGAATATTGGAATTCACTGAAAGTATAATTAGTTTTTGACATTGTGTATGTGAGGTCTTTTCTCTCAGGATGACAGATTGATCCCATTTATTGCCTTTGCAATTGCTCACGGGAGCCATGAAATGGTTCATGATGCTCTTCTTCTCTATACACATTGTGCCCAGGTACAAGCGTTTCCTACGCGATTGTAAGAGTTCATTTTGCACAGTTATAAGTTTCGAGTTTATTGCAGATTAGGAGACCTAGTGGCTTCTTGTACCATAGCTGCCATTCATCAATCTGAAAGTAAATTGCTTGCCTCATCAAGTAATATCAGAGAAACCAAGAGGTCTTCTCCCGATCAAATGGAATATTTGGATGCCAAACATGATTCGGTTCCTCCTCGATATAGTCCCGAGAAGAATCGCTTGTTGGATGAATTATTGAATAATATTCGATCAGGTTTTGAGGTTAGCTAAAAGCTTTCATTATTTGTTCATGTCACAATTTATATGGCCTTATTGTTTTCCCAACTCAGTCTATATATCACCCACCGTTCTCTTTTCAGATAAAAGATTTGAAAATGTCAGAAGTGCTGACCGCCTACGAAAAGAAAATAACTAATATGGAGGTTTGTTTGCGTTTAAGTTTGTCTTAGTCTTAATAACCAGATTCTTAGAATCGCGAAAGAGAGCTGGAAAGAGTAATCAGTTCAATGGAACGTCTCCGGCTACAATCAAAAGGAAGTTTCAACAATGAAGCCGAAGTGAGTTTGTCATGTAACGATTCTTCTCACTTTGCTTTTTAGATGGCCAAAATTAGATGTTTAGTTGGAGAAACTGAGGAGCTAATGGAAAAAAATAAGAAACTTGAGAAAGAAATCGTTATTAATAAACTGAGCGAAGAGAGAAAAGTTAAAGACCTGATGGAAGAGTGGGTTTCTTTCCCTTTTTAAATCATACAACATCGTTGTAGAATCACTAAGTATCGCCAGGAAAAAGATGACTTGAGTTCACAACTTCTTCTTGAAAAAGAGCATGTATTCCAAGCTCTTCGTCATACAGAAGATCAGAAGAAATCTCTTGAAAGGTAAAAGGGAAATAATATACTGTTAAACGCCAAATCAATTTCAGCGCCTCGGAGACTTTGATTGAGAAAGGATTGGAAATAGAAAAATTGTCTAAATCTGTTGAACGTATGCTGTAATAGCCTTCTTTGCTTTCATAATTATTTTACGTTTAGATTTGAAAATGGATCTTCTATCATTGAATAGGAAATACGATCAAGATATAATGAAATGGCGTAAAGAAAATGAGGAACTATCTGGAGAGGTTTTTCCCTTTTTCATAATAAGTGTAGCACGTCTTTCAGCTGGAAATGATGAAGTCGAGAGGACAGAAGACTGCGCAGGATCTAGACAAGTTGAACAGACTAAGAGAGGAGATGCTCCGTTTGGCTAATGGATATGAGTAGTCGGTAGTGAGGACATATAGTACTGCGTATATGTGATATTTGCTGATATTCTTTCTTATTATTCACTTATTTATTTTTATTTCTCCGTTTTATCATTCAGCGGGTTTCTTAGTAATATCATTAATAAGTTATTCATTTAGATATTCAGAATCTCATACTTTTTGTTGTGGAGATCCTATCAGGTCCGCATACTTTCTCCATGCACGCTTGTGGAAGGCAATATTTCCGAATTTTCTCTTGGTTTTCTTTGAGTTCTGAATTGTTCATAATTTTTTGATTGTAATAACTGTAAACGCACGCTATAACTGTGGATGCAATGAATAAAGCTACTAATCCTGAAAGAGCATTCAAGTACAGAAAGTTTAGGTGCCGCTCTTGGCTTGTGAAAACGTAAAATACTATAGACTGTCCAAATATGAGAGCCATATTATTGGCCTGTCCTATTAATGGAAGACAAATAGCCGTAACTGAAGCCTAGAAAAATCTTTTGACAGCATTCACTCTTTGAACTACCCAAGCTATTGGTGTTGCCATATAGTTATCCGAGTACGTTTCTTCATCATCACCATCACTTCCATGGCGTACAAGACACAAAATTGCAGTGCAAATAGCTTCCAAAAGAAAAGCCTTAAAAATACTTCAGATTAATTCAATCAATTTTTGATGATACTTGAAGTCGGCTGAGTTTCTGATCCTTGTCATAGTAAATAATTGTATTTGGAAGATAAGAATCAACAAAGACATTCTGTGATAGTAAGGAACGAAATAGCACTGCTCCTAGGAAACTTCCAAACAACTGAGCGATGATGTAAGATACAACTGCGTATCCCGGAAGTTTCCCATGAACAAAACGACTGACCGTTATAACTAAACTTATTTTTCATTAGTGTTTGACATAACCGATAACCTGGATTATAATGTGCTCCACTGACATCGAAAAAGCATGTTTGAGCAACAAGCAAAGCTATACCTGATAGGAATGGATAAATTGCTGCTCGATGTTCTGAGGGAGTATAACTCAAAGAAACTAAAGAAAAAAAGCAATATTGAAAAGAACAAAAATAATTTCGCAAATCATACCTATTAAAACGAAAATAGCAGTTCCGAAAAACTCAGCGAAAAAAGTGCGCGCTATAGTGTTTAGTAACTTGTCTTCTGTTTCCGCACCCATCATTCTGGTTGCAGCTTCTGACCTAGTTGCACGAGGGCAGCCTTAACGTTTCCAATGTAACCATGGAAACTGCAGCACTGCCTAAATCCTGGAGGGAAATCGTCTTCTATAGCGGGCCTGACTGCGTTAACCCTTTTAATCCTAATCAGAAACATGAATGGTAGACCAAATATTTATGCTTTTCAACTATTTTACATTAAAAAAAACTACATAGAAATATTTCCAGATATGGTTGTTAATGTTGGTTCGTACGATATGGACAACCAAATTTACACATGTAAAAATGAAATTAAAGTATAAGATCTGCAAGTATTAAAGCCAGTCGTCGTACTCGTGGCAATCGTAACCGGAGAAATTGGATGTGAATTATGCAAAAGTAATATACACTATTTTACAAAAAAATGTGAATGAAGAGTATTGAATGGGCAAAGGAATGGTGCTGTGAAAAAATGAAATAACAACTGATTTTTTTCTTGATGAAGAAGTAATATGAACTCTTAAATTACTTATTATGTGCTCTTTTCAGTTTGCAAAATACGGTCATGGACTACTGAATCACCAAACCACGCATTTCTTGTCTGGGTTGAAAGCGCTACTCTTTGAACATTTGTAAGCTTCCGAGAACTGTTCCAAGTTTGAAAGAACTCCTTTAATTCTGAAAACCTCTGGAGAGTGTTCGTCAGTTAACACTTGCTGCATAGCAGCGGCATCTTTCTTTTGTCCACACCAGAACTGAAACAGACAATTTAATAGATGAATACACTGAGGATTATACATGAGCATAACTCAAAAAAAATATTTGATTGTTTGAGTATTGTTCTAATCCTGGTAGTCGTTTCTCCTCGCCATTGGAATTCACATAATTTTGATAGGCCTGCAATGTGGAGTTAAACACATATGAATGTTTGCAACAATTACATGATATGCTTCTTTCAATCCTCCATTATCAGCAATGTTCTCTCCCTGAGTTAGCTTGCCATTCACCTAAATAATAAAGCTTAACGACGTTTGAGAAGCATTATAGTCACCCTATACGTTGTTTTAGGAACGACATAATCACTGTACTGATCAACAATACATTGTTTTCTTTCATTAAAAGCAGCCATCGATTTAGAGCTCCACCAGTTCTGAAGATTTCCCGTTTTATCGTATTGGCTTCCTGCAATGGAAAACAGGAAATTTCAAATGAAGAGCAATGCGAATGCCTTGATCATCGAAGCCATGAGTGATTTCATGTCCAATAACTGCGCCCATGGCTCCATAGTTTACAGCTTTAGGAAATGAACCACTGAAGAAAGGAGGTTGCAAAATACCAGCAGGAAAAGCTAAAATTTCAAAGCTTCAAGTGATTAGAGAAAAATTATGCATTACAAATTGCATTACGTTCCGGAGCATAGAAAGCGTTTACGACAGCTGGTGAGATATCAAATTCTCGACGGTCAAACTCTTTGAGAAGTTTCCTCATTTCTTTGTTCTGCATCCAGTAAACAGCTTTCTGCATTAGCAAGTAGTACGTGTCTGATTTCAAAATCTCAAGCTGTAAAATGAAGAACTTATCACAGTGTGTTACAACTTCAAATACCTCATCGTATTCCTTGTCCAATTTAGCATTATTTTTAACAATTTCTGGATAGCCAATATGGTTGATCATGGAATTAGCCTAAATTCTTGCAATCAGATATCGTTATTTCTGTTTTTTCAATAGGACTTTTTCTACAGCTATCAGCTTAGTGTCTTCATCCATCCAGTCACTAGTTTTCACCAATTCTGTGAAAGACGATCTCAGTAGTTCTATCATTGCCTATAAACATCAACTTAAACTTTCTATGAGTGTGGAACAAGGACCATGGCTTCTTTTTTATCTTCTGAAGCAAAATGAGCATTTACATATATAGCTCCAGCAGCTTGAGGGAGTATCGTACTTGGTACCTGGGCGCAATCTTTCCATCTTGGTGATCTTTGCATCTGTCCTGTCATGACACGGACAAAGTCCTTAAAGGACTATCAAATCAATGGAACTAGGGTTAAACTAACTTGTTTTATATCATCAAAACGTTCGTCTAGATAACGCACATTGGTTTGAACTACTTTCCAAAGTATGTAGTTTACCAAGAGCTCGGATCGAGTATTTTTAATAAGTTCAGAAACCTGAAAAACTTTGATCGGTATGTGAAGACAAGAAATAATACCTTCGACAAGAACTCCACTTCGCAAACGATTATCTCGGTATCATTATCAAATAAATGAACAATGTCTGGGGGAGAGATAGTTGTGAAATAGTTCACCCAATCCACCTGCAAATATACGTTTATGAAATGATGACAGAATCTTTGTTCATTATCTATTTCTTTGAGGTTATGAATAGTACGAATGCAACCGCTCTTATGTCTCATGAACTTTAGAAATGAATAGAGGCTAGTACATTCCAATAGTTTCATTGTGATTAGCATAAATACGTCATCATTCTTACCTGAGGCAAGTATTCCGAAAGATCTTTCAATGTTCTCTTGTTGTACATACGTGTATTATTTCTTCTTTCATCTTCCGGTACGGTTATCTATAGAAAAAAAATGTAGAAAAAAACCAAAAAGTAACGAAGTAAACCTTGGCCAGCTCTGTTTCAAATTCAATAATTTCATTTATATCTGAAAGCAGCTTATTATCATCTCGAGTAATATTCAAATCCAGCAGAAGCAGTTTGAGGCCCTATACGTGAATCAAAAAACATATATAAATACATCACAGTCCAAGAAAACCTCGAGCATGTACTGTCGGTATGCATCAACATGATTAGCAAAAAGCGTATTGTTCAGATAATAGTCACGAGACCCTCGACCTAAGGTGAGAGTTCCTTGATCAATCTAGAAAAGAATAATCAAATTAGTCGTCACAATATGCATCATCTACATAGAGCACGTTTTTCGTAGTTCTTTTTGCGTCTCCATAGACGTATACCTGGAAGAAAACATCAGCTCCCTCTTGTCTTCGTACGCGAGCCAATAAATCTGTCAAATAATATTCATTAAATTTTTTATGTGATTTAAATAATTAAGTATTTGGGATCATTAATCACCTGTTAAAGAGAAAGTACTCTCATCCCACTGTCCTTTCTGCAGTATTGGCCAATTGCCTAAAGTTTTGAGTGATTCGATCAATGGCCTAAATATTTATTATTTTCAAAATTGTTTTTCTTTTTTTCCATACGCGGATTTGAGTTCATCCAATTGTGTTTTATTCATGCATGTTTTATATGACACCCGAGCCATATTAATCGACTTAGAGGATGAAACTATTTCTTGTTCAAGTAAAACTGGAAAAATATTATTCATGAAAGTTCTGTTCATGAATTCTTTTATACCTCTCAATTGTAAACGGACTTGTTCACGTACGCTTGAAAACGTTCCCGATGCAGGCATGTCATCCGGTATGGGATTGTTAGCGTTCCATGCGCCACAAGCAAACTCATAAAAATCCTCGCAAGGGTCCGCCGATTGGTTCATGGCATTGAGCTAAATTGTTTATCAAGAACGAGAATAGATAAAACTCATACGAGATTATTAGCAGCTCGAACACATCCTGGTGTGGTACATATTTCTATCTTCTCCGCTTTAGGCAGTGGTGTTGTGGATGTAATCGCTTGAGAAGTTATTAAGATTGTCGTTGAAGATGGAAGAGGAGTTGTTGAAGATGTAGCCAGTATATCATCCCCTACGATAATACATAAATTTCAATGTTCTACTATGTACACACTATTACCTCGTCGTCTATCTAAGGTCAGTATCACAACCAAAAGTACGGTCGAGAGAATTAATAAAAGAAAAATAGCGGGAAGTAAAATTTTCTCCAAAGTTGTTCGGTTTCTCCACCATCTAGCAGTACCCTAAAATTGTATCAGAGAATAGGGAAACACTTATATACGTTGATTATGAATCTATCCGGAAGTTTTCCTCCGACTTTCCGATAACTTACACGAGTAGACGATTGACTCATTTTGAGCGATTATAGTTTCTTATTTTCTATTTCGAGTAACACTCGGAAATATGATTACAGTTGTAACATTTCCTTGATGCACTTTGAAATGACAAATTTGAAGTAATAATCAAAGAAAATCAGAGATGTGCGGAGTTTAGAATGTGGCTTGGTAGAGTAGATTGGTAATAGGAGAAGAACATAGGATATGATCGAACATTAGCACGATCGAGAATATATAGAAAGATACTATGAGCGATCAATGAACAAAAAGAAAATGATATTTCAGTATTAGTGGAGATGAACATATTTATGTTTCACAGTTAGTTGTATGAGATTATAATAGTAATGGTTCAGTTTCAAATCGAACATTGGAAAGTTTAAGCTCCTAATTGAAACCAAAGATACATATATATGAAGAGATAAAGATTGAGATACAACCGTTTAGAGAGTCTGCAACTGTCAAAATGATTTTCCTTCAACGTGAAAAGTTCACGTAGGTCGTTATGCGTGAAGTCATATGTTAATGAATACTGTTGTGCACGTTGAAGTATGAGATAGAAAACTTTAAACAACTTTGAACACGTGCTTTTTTGGATTCATAGTTTTATAAAATTACGTATCATTTTAAATCTAAAATAACATAAAAATTTTGAATTATATGGGATTTGAAAACAAAAATCAAGTCTCAATCAGACATGAGTATAGAAGAATTTGAAAGTACAAAATGCTAACCTTCTTAGATTTTTCCTCCATTTTATTTGAGCACTGTTTTGACTTTAATATTTAAGAAGAGCTGGCGACTACAAAAAAAAAAGAATTCAGAAAAGTTGAAACAGAAAAGGGGCGGACAAGCTGGAAGATGCCGGAAAAGTGAATAAAAAAGGGTGGAGAGAGAATGGCTTTTGAAGAATGAGCAATAGTGTGCGATGAAAAGGAAAAAGAGTACGTTCAATGATGGAGCGATATATAGTGTATCCACCAAAACGAAAAAAGGAGTAGAAACTAGTGGCAAACATATTCAGATCCAATCTGATTATTGGAACGTCTGAAAATGACTGCAAGAGCAGAAATAGGAAACAACAGAAAAAGAGCCAACAAAAGCTTCAACTTTTGAAGCGGATCTCAAGCAGAGATATAAAAATTGAGGTTAATGAAGTGTGTGGCCAAACGTCGAGGAGATGTTTGAAGCTCTGACGGCATTGGAGAATGTTTTTAATCTATGCGAGAAAAAAAGAAGAAAATATTGCAGGAAGAAACAAAACGAAATTCTTCTCGATATTTGGTCATGTAAACAAACAATCAGGCTTTTCAACAAAAGAAATTTAGAAAGTGAGTTGTCATTAAAAAAACATTAACATAAAAGTTCTTGCTTAGCGCAAAGTTTAATTTTTTTTACGAAGTTAACTAAAAATCCCTGCTCGCCTACCTTTCCCGGAATGAAGATGACGTTAGGTGGAGGTTCACGTGGCGGGGGTCCATTAAAGCAGGGCGAGGTACTGAATGAAACAATTCATTGCACGATTACTTCAAAAGTTGAGAAAATAGTTTTGAGTTTTGAACTGTTTTGTGAGTGAAAAAAGAGTCTGTATATAAAGCATCAAAATATTTTTTTTTAAATTCATAAAATATTTTAATTTAAGTGACACCTGGGAGTCTCGCTTCCATCCATTGAAATCAACTGCATATGGCTCTCATTACTCCGCAAATGAACATAGTCAATAGGCGGACTAAACGGCATCTTCACTGAAAAGGCAAGTTTATACAAATTATTGGACAAAAAGATTATGAGAAAAGCTATACTATGAGAATAGAGAAAATAAGAATGTTTTGGATTTAAACAACTTGAAAGAACTTCGATAAATTATATTATTTATATAAAACCGCAACATTTTCCGTTGCTTCTTCAAACATCATCAGAGTTTATATAAAAGTCATTTGATCTATACTTTCAAGTTTTTTTCGAATCATAAATAGAAATTCTGTCCTGAATCCAGGAAGAGTTACTGCTCATAGGATATTGAAAAAGAAATGGATCGTGAAAAAATTTATGGAAATTCATTCTTTTTAAAATTGCGGATGTGGACGGCTGTGCTAACGTGCTCTCATATCAAGAAAGTCTGAAGTGGGACTTCTATACTTATTGAGCTTAATTATAGTTTTTTTTGGCAAAACTGAATGCTTCTGTGAAATTAAAACTCTTAATATATAACAGATGTGGGAACATATGAGAAGTTTATACTTGAGTCAATGGTATGAAACGATTATTAGTTCATCTTCCTAGATTCACAGCCACTTCCTCAGTTTTTTACAACTAATGCTCCATCAGCTTCATCTAGTTCCTCATACCAGATGAGGAACTAGATGAATGTGATGGAGCATTAATCCTGAAATTACTTAGATAATAGAAAACATATAGATACTTCCTATTAGGTATGGCTGTGTGGTTTTCTTTCGATTAACAGAGATTTTCTTCAAAATTCATGTTCCCTTCGAGGAATTATGAATTATATACATTTGCCTTTTTGGAACAATTTTGAAAGTGAAAAAGAGAATGGCTATGTTTCATTCAGAGAAAGGATATAGAAGAAGAAAGGCCAAATGGAAACAAAATGTGTTTGTCGCAAAAAGCAATAACAGAAATGTATATGAATTTAGTGGATTGATAAACATAGCAAGAGCTTATTCTCTTGAAAGTTCATTATGAAAAAGATTTTTTCATCATATTTGTTCCTAAATGGAAGTTAATCTTCCTATTTTTCTTTCTCTTTTCTTTTCTTTATTTCCAAAGGAAAACGATGTTACTATGTGAGGCACTGTGCGAGGTGAGCCCGCCGATTTCAGCAAATACTTGAGCATATTGAAATCATAAAACTAATATTTCACTAGTTAAATGAAAACTATGAGTAAAACAAAGAAATACAGCATAAGTTAACACCGGAAACTATAATCCACAGGAAGCGGTATTGGTAGTCGAATGGAGTAGGAAAAGAATCGAGGCGGCCAAAGCTTGATGAATTCGAAATATTTTACAATTCGGGCAGTTAGCAAGTTATTCCTTGACTAAATTATTGCACATAATCAGAAGTATGAATAATGCCTCCTCATAGAAGACAAAAATATCAAATACACGTTTTGATCATTTTGTGCATTGGAATAATTCTTTTTTTTTGCGCGTGATGCCGTCTTTCATAACGACGACGTCGTAGACATGGTTTCGTCTGGGCTCTCTCAAATTCTCATACTGTTTTTGCTGAGTGTGGTAGATCAATAAGCTGGAGAGTAGAAGCCCAGTTGTGAGCATGTATGAGGCGCAGCTACTGGCTGTTCTGCCAAACTCAGTGCATCTTATGACCAAATGAACTTTGTACCTTTTAAGGCATTACCTCAGGAACTATTTTGAACAACTTTTTTCCGTTCTATCGACTATCTTAAAAGACATTTTTTCGTTTGAGCTTTAACGTTAGCGTTGAGAAAAAGAAAAATGTAATGACCAATGGTGAATCGGAATACAAGCTGGGAAATATCATATTTCTGATATGCGAAAAGAAACGAAGATTGCATGAAACGAGGAAATTATTGTGTTTCCTCGCATTAAAACTGTGCACAGAGACAACATTCCAAGTTTCATATTGTTCCGAGAAGATAGAATAATTAAACTGAAAATAAAGAAATAATAATAATAGTATATTCCCATAATCTATTTTTTTATGAATGATGATTACATAAAACTATTCACAATTCATAATAGAAAGTTGAGCGTTATCGGTTGAATTTGGAGAATTGTTGATGAATAAGCCATTTACTTGATCAATTAGCTATTGTTTATGGAGTGAATTCAACTAATTGAAGTAAATATATGCAGATATATATGTATATTAGAATAGGAAATATAGCCCTTTGCTATGCAAAGGAAAACAACCGTTCCTCACGACTGATCAGGAGCAAATTGAAATTGATTTTTAGTTGGTAATGGCAGTACAACTCCGAATTCTTTCGTAAATACTGCACTCAATTTCGTAGTTCAAAACTAGAAGTTGTAAAAATAAATCATTTATTGGAAAAAAACAACTTAAACTGCAAAATATACAAATATCTCATCATTTGATGTAGATAGTCGATTGACCGTTTCGATCAAATTCAATTGGATCTCCACTGGTTTACTTACGGCAGCACTGGCCGTTTCCACATGGAGAGTATTGAGTTTGGCATCCACATGATTGGGATGGGCTTTGTTGGCATGGCATCATGGCTGGTTGGCAGCTTGAAGAACAAGATTGCTGACATGCAGGTGCACATTGAGCAGTGGATTGAGTTTGGGCACACTGATTGTTGCAAGATTGCTCACACATTGGCTGACACTGTGGTGATTGCTGGCTGACGGGAACGGTAATTGTCAAACTGATTGGTTGAATCGTCATTTGTGGTTGTTGCTGCTGAACACAAGATGGAGTGCAAGATGGTTGACAAGATGGTTGGCAAGCTGGTTGAGCTTGAACATTCTAGGAAGCAAGGTTTACCATTTGTTCTATTACTCGATGGATCTTACTTGTTGGCACATTGGTTGACACTGTTGATTACATTGCTGGTTACATTGTGGCATGTTTTGTTGCTGACAGGATTGAGAGCATTGGTTCTGGCATTGCTGGCAGACATTTACTGGCTGTTGCTGTAATAGGTGTAAAGCGAAAACTTTTGTAAGCGGGGACGAACCTGGTTTTGAGAACAGACATTTTGACAGTTCTGATTACATGAATCCTGGCAAGTAGCTTGCTGAAGTCCAGCGTTGGTGCAGTCGTTGAAACAAGCGTTTCTACATTGTTGACACTGGCTATCATCACGATAAGGTTGATAGTTGTTTGGCATGGGTGTTCCATAAGTAACTGGGGCCATAGTGGAAGAGTAAGCTGGGATAGGTCCTGGGGTGTTGTACATTTGTTGTTGCATAAGTTGTTGGGCATATTGGTCGTTGCTCTGACTGAAAGTTAGGATTGTTAAAATGTAGGAGAAACAGTTAACGAACCAGTTAGTTTGACAGGCTTGCTGGCATTGAGGTTGAGCTTGTGGTTGACAGGCGGATTGGCACTGTTGAACACATGGTTGTTGCTGCTGAACTACTGGTTGGTACTGTTGGTTGCAGGTTGAATCGCAGGTGGATTGGCAGCTGGTTTGACACTATAAAGACATTGAAAATTATTGAGTTCATAGTATCTGTTTTACTTGAGCAACTGGCTGTTGTTGGGCGACACAGGATTGCATACAGGATGACTGACAGGCAGGAGCACATTGCTGTGTCTGAAAATTGAAAAAAGGTACAGTTTATAGAATGTGAAAGTACCTGTTGAGGAGCACAATCGCAAGCAGGTTGTTGTTGGGCTGGTTGACACTGGCAGGATTGTTGAACAGACTGAGCCATCACAGGCTGACAAGCACAGCTTGGAGCAGCTTGTTGAGCACATCCACAAGCTTGACGACGAGCACGAAGCTGGAGAAAGAGAAGTTTAGTATATTGTTGACCAGACTAAAGCTTACTGGCTCGGCAAAGGCAGAAGTTGCAAGAAGGCATAAAGCCACAAGAGTAATAGTGGAGGTTCTCATGATAACTGCTGCTGTGTCAGCGTCTGATGATTTTGGCATGCCCTGAGGGTTTATAAAGGCTTACCTTGCGTGTGTGCCCTATTTCCGGTCTGAAGGTAAAGCCTCCGCTTGATCCGGCCTACTCTTCGGCATTCCGGTCGGAGCTCCGAGTTGTCGTCATATCAGTCTCGTCTGTAGCGTTTTTTTCGTCTCCGACATCTTCAATCATACAGATTGAGCCTGAGGCGCCTTTGTTTGTCTGGTGTTATCTTCAAATGATGCACTATCTGGCTTTTTTTAAATTTGATGTTGGTGCATCGTCCTGTTCATGTTTGTCATCTGAGCGTGTTACGTGAAACTTGATGAGAACTAAGCTTCAATATGATATGAGTCAGACAACTTTGACATAAGAACCGGTATATCTCGATGATTATTAATTCGAATATTTGTTTTTGGTCTTATTATTCTCCTCATATGTTCAAATTTTCTTCCATCTTCTTTTGCGGATTGTAACATTTTTTGTCTGTTCGAGAAAAGCACTTTGCATTTTTTGCACCGTGATAGGATAGTGTACCGTTCATCTGATGAGCAAAACTATCGTCGAGAGGAGAGAAATTATCAATTTTCTATTCCGATTCCAGCTGAGAACATGTCGAGAACTTCTCCAATATGATCCGTTGGAAGAATCCTTTTTGTGTTTGTATGGAACATCATTCAGAAACTATTCGTTTATTTAATCATCATTTTTGTATACCTAAGCAGATCTATAGTAACCGGAAGAACTGGATGAGCAATGATTAATATCTTGTTAATCGATAGCAAATATTATTGATTTATTCATTTTTACTTCGTACATTTACCTATTTCTCACTTTTCACGAAGTTTTGCTCCGACCAGTTATAACAACTTCGCAAAAGAATTGAAGTCAAACAATTCAATAAAGAGATAGAGGAATAGTAAGGGTAAATAGGTGAAAAGGAGATTCTTGTTTGTATTTTCTACATCTATTAGCTTTATACGAAACAAACATCAAAACAAAACAATACTGGAGCTTTGAATTAATATTTTCACTTCTCTCCTCAGAACTATTGGAAAAAAGACGGACATCTACTGAACTTGGAGAAAACATCAGAAAACTTGAGAATCTTCTCAAGAGAGATTTTT